AAACAAAACAAAAAAGCTCTTATCTCCAATGAATCAGTAAAAAGCTAGAATTGGAGCTGTGGCTCACCTGGTAAAGCAGCAGCCTTAAGTGAAAAAGCTCAGGGACAGTGCCTAGGCCATGAGTTCAAGTCCCAGGACTGACACCAAAAAAAGAAAAAACTGGAGGAAGAACCTGGGTAGCAGACCCACTGACACCCTCTCTTACTTATGATGCCTGCGCGGCAGATGGCTCAGATCCCCAAGCCAGTTTTTGTTTTGTTTTGTCGTTTGTGGGGGCTGAACTCTGGGCCTGGGCGCTGTCCCTCAGCTCTTCAGCTCAAGCCTAGAGCTCTACCACTTTAGCCACTGCATCTCTTCCAGTTTTCTGAGTGGTTTATTGGAGATAAGAGTCTCACAGTCTTTCCTGCCTGGGCTGGCTTTGAACCGTGATCCTCAGATCTCAGCCTCCTCAGTAGCTAGGATTACAGGCGTGAGCCACCAGTGCCGGGCAAGGTTTCTTTTTTGGTTTTGTTGGTTGACCTCAGGACCTAGGTGCTGTCCCTGAGCCTCTTTGTGCTCAAGGCTAAAGCTCTACCACTTGAGCCACAGTTCCACTTCCATGATTTGAGTGGTTCATTGGAGATAAGAGTTTCGTGGGGACTTTTCTGTCTGGGCTACAATCCTCAGATCTCAGCCTCCTGAGTAGCTTGGATTACAGGCATGAGCCACCGGCCCCAGGCCCCAAGTCAGTTTGAGAAACCTTTTTTGGGATTGTTTTGAGATGGGGACTCAAAGTTGGTACCTGAGCCTTTTGCTCATTGGCTGGTGCTCTACTAACTCAGACAACCCTCCAACCCCAAGAAACCTTTCTATTTACATGGCTTGCAAAGTCGATGTCTCTAGCTGTCCATCTGTTTATTCATACTCCCAAATTGGAGTCTACCCTGGTTGGCTGGGGTCCTCAGCCTTCCATCCTCTCCCCCCCCAATCAAGGCCCCTCTGAATTGGGCCCCAATTTGGTTCAGCATCAGAGCAGGGTGAAGGGAACTGCACAGAAACTTGAATCCGAATGGAGTCCCAAATTGTAAGCCCACCACTGCCAAGGGTGTTATTTAACTTCCAACCTTGGGCTGGGAAGATGGCTCAGTGGTAGAGCACTTGCCTTGCATGCTTGAGGCCCTGGGTTCGATTCCTCAGCACCACATAAGCAAACAGAAAAAAGCCGGAAGTGGCGCTGTGGCTCAAGTGGTAGAGCGCTCGCCTTGAGCTGAAGAGCTGAGGGACA